ACCCCAATGTTCATCGCAGCACTGTTTATAATAGCCAGGACATGGAAGCAACCTAGATGCCCATCAGCAGACGAATGGATAAGGAAGCTGTGGTACATATACACCATGGAATATTACTCAGCCATTAAAAAGAATTCATTTGAATCAGTTCTAATGAGATGGATGAAACTGGAGCTCATTATCAAGTAAAATTTTTTAAGAAAATCAACATTTATATAATAATACAATTTTATTATGTAAATAGTTCAGAATAATTAATTCTAGATTTCTAAACAAAACTTTGCCAAGTGTAACACCACAGACCCCTCCCCTCATATAACTACCATTCTTGAAACTAGCTTCTCATGTGGCATTCCAAACACTATAAACTCTTTCTAGTGAGAGACCATGTATTATTTTATGTAATAGGTTCACATGGACATTCAGTTTATGACAGCTTGAGTAGAGGCAGTCATTTATTAGGACAAATGTACATGCCCACAATAACTTGGAAATAATACATATTTAAAATACTGGTTAAGGCTCATTAAATACTGATTAAGGGAACAAATGTTCAAATTGAATGAATTATGGCAACATGAGTCAGGCATGCGTGGACTTCAAATTCACATTTTTTTGTTTGTTTTCAGAGTTATAGGTCTTCTTACCTGCTTTTATTCTTTCCATATATATCTGCATGTATTTATTCACCATTTTAACCTTGTTAATGACTTCATTCCATATCCACCACTTGCTGTGAAAGCCATCAATCACATACCAGTTCTGATGTTGTACTTCATAATATTGCCTAATCTCACCAATATTTTTGTGGTACCTTGAGTTCTTGACAGCTATAATCTGTGAGCTGTTGTGCAATGGATAAGGCAAACTAAGAGAGGAACAGAGAAGGAATGGAAAAAGCTGTTAAAAACCTGTTTCTTCTTCTGGATGATTACTGTTCACTCTTTTATCGCTGTTTTCATCACATACATTACCTTGACTCCTTTTTTTTTTCCAGGAGCAATCTTCTGAAAATCTCTTTGGAAGGCACATCCAACTCAAAGATAATCATGGGGATGATTGACTTAGCTTCTAAGAGACTCACTTGATACTTAGTTACAGGGTATCCATCAATGACAACACTAGTAAGGAGAAACATGAAAATAAAAATTCCAGATTTCTTTACTCTCAGACCTTCCTTTCTGTCTTCCAGAAAAAGTCTGTCTTTAGGATTAGCCCCATTCCGTTCCTTCCATAACTTGATTTACCTTGTCACCTTGCCCTCTTTTATATATACATATATATTTTTAGGGGGCTGTACCTTGCAGCTTGCAGGATCTCAGTTCCCCAGCCAGGGACTGAACCTGGGCCCTGGCAGTGAAAGCTTGGAATCCTAACCACTAGGTCACCAGAGAACTCCCTTTATCTCTATATTTTTAACCCCAGTCAGCCCAAGAGACAGAAGTATGCATACATACAGACACAACTCTGACTCATAAATACTTAGCATCACAGAGCTAGATTTTGATGGACTTTGAGAGATATTACACATAATACCTTGAACCTTGTGTTATTTAATTGGTGCTATTATTCTAAGCATGAAACAGTGGGAAGAGGGGCTTCGCTGGTAGCTCAGCTGGTAAAGAATCCACCTGCAATGCAAGAGGCCCTGGTTCGATTCCTGGGTCGGAAGATCCCCTGGAGAAGGGACAGGCTGCCCACTCCAGTATTCTTGCCTGGAGAATCCCCATGGACAGTGGAGCCTGGTGGGCTACAGTCCATGGGGTCGCAAAGAGTCAGACACTACTGAGTGACTAAGCACAGCACAGCGCACATTAGTCTTCGCATGAGACGGTGGAAAGAGTATAGGTTTCAGAGGCACAGAGACTTAAATGTGAAACCGGGTCTGACCTCTCTGAGCCTCAGTTTTCAGTAAAGTAGGGAATACTAAATATACTAGTAAAATAATGATATTTAACCTTTGTGTGTGTATGCACGTGCTTGGTCATGTCCAACTTTTTGTGACCCCATTGACTGTAGCCCGCCAGGTTACACTGTCCGTGGGATTCTCCAGGCAAGAATACAGGCACAAGTTCCCATTTATTTCTCCAAGGGATCGTCCCAACTCCAAGATCAAGATTGAACCTGTGTCTCTTGTGTCTCCTGCATTGGCTTGCAAATTCTTTACCAGTTAAGTCAACAGGGAAGCCCTATTTAACCCTTAGATTTACCTTAAAGACTGTAGATCAAGTGTGTAAAGCAATTAGCAGACTAATTCACATTCCTTATAATAGAATGCCTGGCATGGGAAGAATTACCCAACTCTGATCTTAATATTGTAGTTTTATAGCAAACTGTGTAAATATTTTTGTATAGAAAGGTCAGTGTAAGATAAGACGTCTTGTAAATCAAGATTTTAAGTGCATTAAAATGTTTTAAAATTTAAAAAACACTGCACAATTAATAGTATTTTAGCAAGAGTTTAAGCAAATATGGGAAACATTGTGTTCTAAACTTGCTTTTGTAGTAAAATTCTATAAGGAAGCTGGGTGTGGCAGGGGAGATAAGGAGCTGGTGAGAGAGCCCTGTGGTCTCTGGAGAGAACCANGTGGGATGGGGGTGTGGGTGGGGGTGGATACTTGACACTCCAGAATCTCTCCCCACCATAACAGGAACTAGGAGAACTGTTACGGACTTGATTAAGGACCAGTGGTAGGGAAGGGCAAGGAGGTTCCTGACATAAAACAACTTTGCGTGACTCAGCAAGATTTTAGAGTCAATGACCTGGGCCAAGAGCAGGGTCTTAGGTTTTATGGGCTTTTGTGGTTTCCCTGTGGGCTTCCCTGGTGGTTCAGGATCTGCCTGCAATGCAGGAGACCTGGGTTAGATCCCTGGGTTTGGAAGATTCCCTGGAGAAGGGAATGGCAACCCACTCTAGTATTCTTGCCTGGGAAATCCCATGGACAGAGGAGCCTGGCGGGTTACAGCCCATGGGGTCGCAAAAAGTCAGACACGACTGAGAGTCTAACACACTTACTATCTACTGGATGTGACCAGTGGCTATGCGGGGGCAGTCATGGTTGAGTGGAGGAGTGTAAACTGAAGACCAGTCCAAGCACAGGGCTCTCCTGTCCAAACGCAGCATTAAGGGAGGGGCGCTGCTACCTGTGCAGAGACTGGACTGGTGAAAGACTGTTTCCACTGGACCAGTACCATCTGGGGGCAGGGGAAGGCCACATCTCCATCACTCCATCGGGCAGTGAGAAGTTCTACTGGGCTGTAGAAGTCACATGGGTCTCTTATAGACTGTGTAAACCTGGAGACTGGGACAACTCAGGGGTTGCTGCAGGGAGTGAAGTTGGCCTGTGAGTGTTTAAGCCAAATTATAGCCTGACTGAAAATTAAATTATTGATATGCAACCATATCAGTGCACAGACTTTGAGAAGCAGATCACACACCCTTTACAACAGCTTTAAACTCTGTTTAAGGTACTTTAATTAATTCCAATGAGTAATTTCTTAAAGATTTAACTCCCTCCTGCTCTCTCCCCACCCCTAAGGCCCCCACTTACCCTGCGGTATTACATACACTTCCCATCAGAGATAATTCTAAGGCCTGAATAGCCAGTTCATCAGGTGCTGTCATTCCTTTATGAAGATGCCAATTTAGCATAAGTGCCAGCTCTGTGTCTGGTTGGTTGTTTAATACATAACGCAAAGCATCTCCTATCGACAAACGCTTTAAGCCATATTCACTTGAAATACTTTTGGCAACTGAAAAACATTAAAATTTTAAACTTATTCTGTTTCACAAACCATCTGTTAACCTTAGTTTCAGATTTTGGTTAATTGACAACAACAGCAAGTTAATCTTCACATTCTTCAAAGAAATTTCAAAAATTAAAATAGCTACATTTTATTGAATTAATGGGCTTCTCTGGTGGTGGCTCAAATGGTAAAGAATCTGCCTGCAATGTTGGAGACTTGAGTTCAATCCCTGGGTCATGAAGATCCCCTGGAGAAGGGAATGGCTACCCACTCCAGTACTCTTGACTAGAGAATTCCATGAACAGAGGAGCCTGGTGGGCTACAGTCCATGGAGTTGCAAAGAGTCAGACATGGCTGAGCAACTAACACTTTCACTTCACTTCATTGAATTAATACTATTCAAAGGTCAGTCATTATTAGCACTTCAGGCATGTGGCTGACAGATCTGGTTAATGGGCCAACTATGTTAGGTTTTTCCATAACCAAACCATTTAAGTGTTTTTTCCTTCTGTTCAGTTCAGTTCAGTCACTCAGTCGTGTCCAACTCTTTGCGACCCCATGAATCGCAGCACGCCAGGCCTCCCTGTCCATCACCAGGTTCCAGAGTCTACCCAAACCCATGTCCATCAAGTCAGTGACGCCATCCAGCCATCTCATCCTCTGTCATCCCCTTCTCCTCCTGCCCCCAATCCCTCCCAGCATCAGGGTCTCTTCCAA